CAACTTTGTTAATCTTTCTCAAGATTGCTGTGGCTATTTGTCTTCTTTGGTTCCACATGAATTTCTGGAGTATTGGATCTGTGAAATATGCCATTAGTATTTTAATAGGTATTGCACTTAATCTATGGATGCTTTAGATAGTATGGACATTTTAATTATGTAAATTTATAAGTCCATGAAAATATTTTGCTCCACTTGTTTATTATATATTTTTACACCTCATTTTTCATTGACCTGTAGTTTCTGAGTATAGGTCTTTTACCTCCTTGGTTAAGTTTATTCTGAAGTATCTCAATTTTTTATTACAAAGGTAAATGGGATTTTTAAAGTGTTTTTTTTTTCCTGAGACATTATTATGGTATAGAAAAATGCTGTCTATTTCTGATGTTCATTTTTTATCCTGCTAAATTTATTTATTAAATCTAATCATTTTTGGTTGAGTCTATTCACAATATTATATCATTTGTAAATAATGACAGTTTTACTTCCTTCTTTCTAATTTGTTTGCCTTTTAAGTTTTCTTCTTATCTGGTCGCTGTGACTAGGACTTCCAGTACTATGTTGAATGAGTGTGGTAAAAGTGGACATCCCTGTCTTGTTCCTGTTCTTAGAGGGAATATTTTCAGTTTTTGCCATTGAGTATGATGTTTGTTGTAGGTTTGTCATATGTGGCTTTTATTATGTTGAGGTGTGATCCCTTCATTTCCACTTTGCTGAGAGTTTTTTTTTTAAAATCAAAAATGGGTCATGGATTTTGTCTAATCTGCATCTATTTATATGAACATATGATTTTTGTCTTTCAATTTGTTTATGTGATATATCACATTTATTGATTTGAAAATATTGTAACAACCTTGCATCTCTGGAATAATTCTCACTTGGTCATAGTGTATAATCTTTTTAAGACATTGCTGGATCTGATTTCCTAATATTTTTATTAACGATTTTAGCATCTATGTTCATTAGAGATATTGGCCTATAATTCTCTTTTTTTGTAGTATCTTTATTTGGTTTTGGAATTATGGTAATTCTGGCCATGTTAAAAGTAGTTGGAAGTGTTTCTTTCCTCTTGGAGTTTTTAGAATACTTTGAGAGGATAGGTGTTAGTTCTTTTGTGAATATTTGGTAAAACTCCCCTGTGAAGCCACCCAGACCACTTTGGTTTGCTGAGAGTTTTTTGATTACTGGTTCAATTTCATTAGTTGTTATTGGCCTATTTAGATGTTCTGATTCTTTTGGATTGAGTTTTGGAAGATTGTATTTTTTAGGATTTTGTCTGTATCATTCAGGCTGTCCAGCTTTGTTGGCATATATTGTTCATAATATATATATATTTTATAATCCTATGTATTTCTGTGGTGTCGGTTGTTACTTCACCTCTTTTGATTCTATTTGTTTGGTTTATCTCTCTTTGTTTCTTTATGAGTCTGGCTAAAGGTTCATCTATCTTTTCAAAGGACCAATTCTTGGTTTATTGATCTTTTATATCATTTTAAAAATCTTTATGTTATTTATTTTCTCTGTGGTGTTTATTATTTCCTCCCTTCTATCTATTATGGGCCTTTCTTATTGTTCTTTTTATAATTTTGTTGTTGTAGTAGTGTTAGATAATATATTAAAGCTTTTTCTTGTTTCTTGACATAGATCTGTAATGCTTCCCTCTCAGAATTGCTTTTGCTGTGTCCCATAGATTTTTTGATTTTTTTATTTTTGCATGATCATTTTCATTTGCTTCCAGGAAATGTATTATTTCTTCATTTAGTTTATTGGTAACTCATTTATTGTTAAATAACATACTATTTAACCTCCATGTATTTGAATGTTTTTGAGTGTTTTTATTGTGATTGATTTCTGAGTTCATTCCATTGTGACCTGAGAAGAAGCTTGATATGATTTCAATCCTCTTGAACTTATAAAGACTTATTTTGTGTCTTAATATGTGGCCTATCTTTGAGAATGTTCCAGTACACTTGAGAAGAATGTATATTCTGCAGCTTTGGGGTGGGAAGTTCTGTAAATGTCAATTAAACTCATTTTATCTAGTGTATTATTTAAGATCTCTGTTTCTTTGTTAATTTTTTTGTCTGGAAGGTCTATCCAGTGATATCACTGAGTTATTAAAGTCCCCTATTATGATTGTATTCCTATCAATCTCTCACTTAAATTTCTCCAAGAGCTTTTTAAGATATATTTAGGTTCTCCTGTATTGGGTGCATATGTGCTCCTATATTGGGTGCATATATCCCAATAATCCTCTTATTGTATCGATCCCTTTAGTATTATGAAGTGGCCTTTTTTTTGTCTCTTGTTATGTTCTTTGCTTTTAAGTCTACTTTTTCACATATATGTATTGCTACCCTTGCTTTCTTTTTTCATTTTCCTTTGCATGGAAATTTTCCCCCTTACCTTTACTTTCAGTCTGCGTGAAGCTTTTGTTCTGAGATGGGTCTCTTGTAAACAGCATATGTATAGACATATTTTCTCATACATTCAATCATTATATGTCTTTTTATTGGAGAATTTAATCCATTTATATGTTTATTGGTAGGTACTTATTTACTAGCATTTTTTTCTTTATACCTATGTTCCTCTCTCTTCATTTCTTCTTCTTTAAGCATTCCCTTTTACATTTCCTGAAAAGCTGGTTTGTTAACAATACTAGTACTTCTAGTATTTTTAACATTTTGGAAGTTCTTTATTTCCTCCTCAATTTTAAATGATAGCCTTGCTGAATAGAGAAGTCCTGGTTTCATGTCCTTGTTTTCCATTACTTTGAATACTTCATACCAATCCCTTCTGGCATGAATTGTTTCTGCTGAGAAAACAGCTGACATTCTAATAGGTACTCCCTTGTAGGTAACTCTCTGTCTCTTTCTTGCTGCCTTTAAGATTCTTTAATGTTTGTTCTTTTGATTGTAATGTGTCTTAGAGTGGATCTCTTTGGGTTCATCTTGATTGGAGCTGTCTGTACTTTCTGAACTTGTGTGACTTTTTTCTTCACCAGGTTAGGGAAGTTTTCTGTCATTATTTCTTTAAACAGGTTCTCAATTCCTTTTCACTTTCTTCTCCTTCTGACATCCCTATGATGTGGATGTTGTTATGTTTCATGTTGTCCCAAAGTTTCCTTAAACTATTCTCCTTATTTTTAACTCTTTTTTTCTCTTTGCTGCTCTAATTGCATGCTTTCTTTTACCTTGTCTTCCAACTTACTGATTCAGTCTTCTGCCTCATTTAGTCTATTTTTATTACTTCCAGTGTATTCTTAATGTCAAATATGTTATTCTTCATTTCCAATTGATTCTATTTATGGTTTTTATTTCTCATTTCATGCTGTTATTATTCCCACTAAGTTTCTTGAAATTGTCACAAAATTCTTTGGGAATTCTTATAATCATTACTTTGAACTTGATATCTGATAAATTGCTTGCTTCTATTTCATTTAGTTCCCTTTCTAGAATTTTCTCCTTTTCTTTCATTTAGGGATTATTTCTTTGTCCCCCAATTTTATTCTCCCTTTGAATTTGTTTCTATGTATCAGATCAAATTGTTATCCTAGTCTTTGTGGGCTGGTCTTATATTGTAAGTGTTTTTGGGACCCAGGGATGCAGGCTCTTAAATATTGTGACCCGGTTGCTCTACAAATGTCCCTTGTGTGAGTTACTTGGACTTTCCTATTGTAACTGGGTCATGAATGTCATTGTCCCATTCATCAGAGGAACATCCTCTCAGCCTGGCTGACTGTGAGGCTTACCTCTGACCATGTCATGCAAGCTGTTTTGCAGGTGCAATCTCCAAGTATTTTCTGTCCTTCCTTAATATAAGTCTCCTCTCAGTTGGACCTCACTTGGTAATTCTGGGTGAACGTTCCCCAATTTAGTTGTATTTCCTGTCTAGCCCTGGAAGGAGGTACAAGAAAGGTCTGCCTATTTGGTCACATCTTCTCTCTCAATAGTTAATTCTTAAATATTTTATTCTTTTCAATGTTATAATTGATAGTGTATAGAAATGAAATTGAGTTTTCTGTGTTGATTTTGTATTCTGCAACTTTGCTGAATTTATTTATTAGTTCTAACAGGTTGTGTGTGTGTGTGTGTGTGTGTGTGTGTGTGTGTGTGTGTGTATAATCTTTAGGGTTTTCTACATATAAGAGTACCAGTATGTATATCATTTGCAAACAGATATATTTTAATTCTTTCTTTCCAATTTTGGTGTTTTTCATTTCTTGGTTAATGTTACTACATTCTACCCTAGAAATGATGATAATTTTTAATAAGGATAGGGAGGTAAGTACTGTTTGGATCTGGGAAATATTTTTCAGGTAGAGCAAATGGAATTGTTTGGCTTAGATGCTGGCTGTGAGAGAATGAAAGAAGTTAAAGATGATTTCTTGGTTTATAAACTAATTAATGGGTAAATCATTGTAGTGACATTTGATTGTATTGTATTGATGGAGGAAGGTATGCTTGAGAGGGGAAGAGAAAAGCTATGTATTGGACATATAAAATTTGGTCATAGTAGGTAATGTAGACATAGATAAAAGAATACAGTCAGGAAACAAACTTTTGGGAAAGCTCATTTTTATAAAAGATGTGGAAGAAGAGGCAACAGAAAAGGAGGCAAAGAGGAAGCAATGATGAGGTTAAAAAAGGACCAGGAGAATGAGAAAAACAAGGAGTAAAAGTTTCAAGAAAGTGGCATTGATTAATTGTATAACCACTAGGGAAGGAAGATGAAGATGAAGAAAGAAAGAACCTTTGACATGAGAAATGAAACGGTCTTTGGTAGCCTTCCATGGAACATTTTCAGCAGAATGGGTAAGGTCTTTGCCTGAGGGCAAGTAAGTTGATAAAGCAAGTGGGTGATGGGAAGTACTCTAAACAGAACCGAAGTGTTGTATACTTAAGGCAAAAATGTTGATGTTACTGTTGCCATGGAAACAAAAAACAAGAGAACTAAAAGCCATTTAAAACCGCTGACTCCAGCCCATCACATCCCCTTGATCTGTTGTAAAAGATGCTGATAAATATAGTCCTGAGAGAGTCAGAGCTCATCTAGGTTTCTTCCTTTTAGATGTGGCTCCTAACTGGAAATATTTCCCCTTTTTGAGGGGTAAGCCAGCACCAACACCCACAACCTAGTTTCTATGAAGGACAGATGCCCCACCTACTGAAAAAGTTCCTTATTCTATTGCTATTGGCTGACACTGTTCATAAAGTATAATTCACAGTTTCATTTTGCTTTTTAAAGAGCAAGCTGAATTACTTGGAGGAGGAAAGCAGCAGACAGAAGACACAAACGCTAAGTCACTTAAAAGAAAGAAACCTCAGGTAAGAATTTTTATCTTTGTTTTGTTAGTTGTTGAGATTTATACCTTGCTTGTCACTTTAGACATAGTAAGAAGAATTATTTTTGAAAAATAAATTACCTTTGTTTGGCTATAAAATTGTTTCTTATCATATACATAGCAGTTTAGAAAATATTGAAAAAGTACAAAATAAGAAAGTAAATGCCAAAGATGAGATAGCCTCTACTGATGTTTGTGTGTGTATGTGGTATTTATTTTACATTCTTTTTCTTTTGTATGTTTCTATATATAACTACTTTGATTTTCATAGTTGTGTTCATATGGTATAGATATATTTATATTTATTTTTTTACATGGCCATAAATTCTTGATAGTCACAATTTAAAATTGCTAGACAATATTACATTGGAAGGATTTACTGTACTTTACTATACCTTCACTTTGGGCCATATAGCATCTTTCTTATTTTTTCATTAATGGGTCATTTTAGTATGTAAGATGATTTTTCCATTCAGGATCTTATTTTCTTGGGAGAGGGGAGGAGGTTAAATTTGAGATTGTAGATTTCATTGATATTACTCAGAGGCACAATGACAGCGAAAGTGTGTATGAGAGCATATGATTATAACCTTTGGGGTCTTAATCAGTGGTTTTCTACTCTAGTTGCACATTTTATTCTAGCTGATCCTGAGGAGATTAAAAAAGTACCCCTAGAAAAGGGGAAAATTAATTTTTGAAGGTAAGGCAGTCATCTGTAGTAGTTTCTTTTTTTCTTTTTTCTTTTCTAAACGCTCCCAGATGGTTCTAATGGCCAACACAACTGACCTAAGTAATTTAAAATATTTTCCTGTTTCTGACACATACCTGGGAGCAATACAAAATCAAGGGAAAGAAAGGTACAATTTCAGGCAAGCCACCTAAATCTCCCTTTTAACACTGTATTAATAATGCAAGAGTACTTTGTGGAAAATATAAGACTTCTAGCAATTTCTGTCATCCATCTCAACTGCATAAACTGTTTAGATGAAAATCTTCTTGAGAATTTCAATTTACTAATGCTTTAAAGAAATAAATTTGTTTCCAAGATATTGGTGGTTAAAAGTTAGAGACACCAAGACTCCAGACTGTTTTAAATGAGTCAAAATTTAGCCTGTTTAGATCTGTTAATATTCTGCCTCCGTACCCGCCTGGGGTCCTAAAGTGTACCCCTATCATCTAAACATCATGGATTCTGGATGAAAGTTGCTATACTTTTGCAATGTGAATCTGTTGGTGTGTGTCAAGAACATCTTAGACATTTTTAAAAAATCTTGTGTGTATTCATTCCAGGCTCAGGGATCTTGCTTTTCTAGTTTATCTTGCACACCACACATCTCAGGTGTGCTAGTTCCCCAAGACTAAGCCTGGAAGACAAGCCTACAGGGGCTCAGTTTGTGAACTTGTCCAGTGAGCTCTGGATAAATGCAGTGTCCAAGCTGGATAATGCAGAGAAAAGCAAGCATTTGCCTGGGTTGCTCAGCTTTGCTATAGAGCCTTATCAGATCCCCGTGAGAATACCCAGCGCCGGCTTTATGCTTTTCTCTGGATGTTACTGACTGCCTTCTTTGTATTGTAGTTACTTTCGTCAGAGTTTAATCCTTTTACTGGACAAAGAATGACTGAGGCTGGAGTTCTTGCAAAAAACTTAGTACATGGCTCCATTAAGAATAGATGGGAAAGTGTAAATAGATTAATTCATGAATGAATGTGGACTCCAGTTAACAGCATATGTTTATCTCTGTTGAACCTATTAATCTTTTTATATTAATTGAACCATGGAGAAAATAGTACCACCTTTGATTATTTACAGGAAAACTTCTCCTATAGGATTAATTACTTGGTGACAAAGAAAGTAATGAGGGCCTGAGCAGTTGGAACCAAAGAATCCCAAAGTTGGAAGGGCCTTTAGGAAAAGCCAGGACCAGGCATAGGAGCTTTTTGTGTCTTCAGTGTTTTAAGGAGAAATTGCAAAGAAGAGAGGAAGCAGATCTGAGGGAGAACAGAAGGACAACAGGAGAGGGAAAAACAAGCAAAGGATGGACAGGAAGAGGAAGAGGGTGAAGAGAAGGAGAGGGAGGGAGGAGAAAAGACTATTTGTTTCTGGAAGTTTAAAGATTACTTATGCTGGGAGAATTGAAAAGGACCCAGTCCATGGTTATTGTACATTATAATGTATAGTACATTATAAAAACAAGATTTTTATCATGAGAAAAAAAATATATGCTGTGTAAGTGTCATCCTGTGAAGCTATAGAGACACATTTTGCCTCATTTGCACCTCTAGTTCAGAAAGCACAATCGTCTACAGAGTACTTGGGGGCAGCATAGATTTTTTAAGGTAAGTTGATTTCTTTTTATTTTGAGTTTACCGTAATAATAGCTTTGTTTCCTTATAAATTCTCTGAGATATTTGAAGGAGGCTTCCCTTGTTAACAGAAGAGTAAGTAGTCAGATATTGCATTTCTCAGGCAATTAATTCTCTGGTTTTCAAGTTTTCCAGACATATGGAAACATTCTCTCCTTATCTGCTTCTTTCCTATTATCTTTACATGTATTTTATACCCAGAATTCTAACAAGTTCTTAGCCATTTCTTTCCTGGACATCATAGGATTGCAACAGGAATGCTAGTGCATTGGGTGTACAGGATGTGCCAGGCTCAGTGCAGCTCTGCAGGAGGCTTTCACATGTGTTGCCTCCTCTGGCTCTCTCAGCAACAGTGAGAGGGTGAGTGCTTGCTGATGCTCACACTGTTGGCAAGAGAGAGAGCCAGGAATTGGATCCTGTTGGGATTTACTCCCCAAGGGTTTTCATGATATCACAATACCTCCGTATCATGCCAAGAAACATAATATGTTTAACAAGCTACCTTTGTAAATAATTCATTTGCTCTAATAAATGAATTTAATGCCTAGGTAAGAGGGAAGGGAAAGAGAGGGAGTCTTAATTTGAATTAGTGGGCTTTTGGGAGCCCCTGCATCATGTCATTTAGTCACTTTGATATTGGGGGGTGAGGGAGAGGTTCCTTTTGCTGACACAATCCCTAGGAATTATTGGAAGGAGTTTGGCCTCTGAAGTAATATCTGCTGATCTACTATCTTTCTTCTTTTGTCTTTGAAATTAGAAGAATTGAGAATCAAGATTCAAATGCAAATGATTCCGCAACCTTACTTAGATCAGAAATTGGGTTAATAACAGATAGCTCCAATCTTCCTTAATCAAGGTGCACTAATAAAGTACACTAGGAAAATGACAAAAATTTGTTGAGAGAGTTTTATAACATTAAATTCCATGTCCCTGGGATAAGTTGTTCTCTGGGAGCATTTGTCCCCTCAAAATAACATAAAAAGAATCAAATTGTGAAACAACTCCAATTTTAGGGGCTAGTTATCCCCAACTGTGTCTATAATCTGTGTCTATAACCTTTTTGCACAGGGAAATTCTCAAGTAGGGAACATCAGAGGAGAATGTGCAAACTAACCAAACAAGTAAACAGACAGGAACATTTTGTCAGAGAAGGATAGAAAAAAGACAACTATTGCTAAACCATCAGTCCAATACTGATACTAAAAGGATCTGGCAGTTTGGCCACACCAGAACTTTCCCCAGTGTTACTTTTTACCCATGCAGCTCTTTGCCCTAATGGCGGCTCTGACAATACACATCTTCTGGAGTGCCTCTCCTTCCTTTTGTCCATTTATGTTTATGATGGTGGATGTCATTTTACCACACATTCTGTGGTCTAAGCAAAGTTCTCCTTTTAGTGGAAGAAGGTAATAGTTGAGGTGAGCTGCATGTCCAGTCCTTCCCCTAAACTGGGCAATATTTCAAGAAGGCCGCCGAAACCAGTTTGGCTCAGTGGATAGAGCATCGGCCTGCAGACTGAAAGGTCCCGGGTTCGATTCCAGTCAAGGGCATGTATTTTGGTTGCGAGCACGTCCCCAGTAGGGGGTGTGCAGGAGGCAGCTGATTGATGATTCTCTTTCATCGATGTTTCTAACTCTCTACCCCTCTCTCTTCCTCTCTGTGAAAAATCAATAAAATATATATAAAAAAAGAAGAAGAAGAAGAAGAAGGCCTAGCAACTTTCAACAGAGTCCAGGCACAAGGGCTCAGGCTCCCGTGGGTTCTCAGGAGTCAGGGTCAGAGCTAGAAAAAGAAGGAGGCAGATGCAAGTTGAAGGGCACCTATGGATGGGCAGCTGGGATAAATCATTGAGAAGGTGACAACTACTATGGTTCCAAGAAAATGTTCTAATTAGAAAATGGTATTATAGGGCATATCTGGTCTTTAGAACTAAAATAGGAAATCAGGTTAATGAAATTCAGAAGTTATTTTAGGGAGTTCTGAACTTTCACTGAGCATTTTAAAATTTAGTCAAGAGGCTGGCCAGAAAGATCAACCAATCACCAGCATCCCTCTTCCCATTGGCTGATGAATTCCTGAGAAATCTGATGAATTCCTGATGAATTCCTGAGAAATCTGAGGAGAAATGGTAAGAGTGGGGAAGAGGGAGCTGGAAAGTTTGCTTATAAAAGAAGCCAATTGGGGTAGGCCATTACAAGGGAGAAAGTGCTTGTTTCTCACAGGGATTCTCTGCCTGTTGTGACAATTGCTTGGGAACACCTTCCAACCTCATGAGAGGCTGCAAGATCTCATGCAGGTCTTCCCCCACGGAGAACAGACAGGTTCCAAAGGCTGTTCTTTAGGGGCTTCAGGTTACTCTAGGATCCCATGGTAACACCATGGGCAACAGGGAGCCTTTTCTGTCTGCTAAGCTCCAGGACAAATCAGACACTATTCATTTAGGTACTGGGAGGACAGGGCTTTATGAGCTTTACAAATGTGGAGGAGTCCTAATGTGGAATCCTAACCAGAGGACAAATATTAGACAGTAAAACTCTGCTCTGGGGAAACCCAAGTCATCCTGCAGGGTGAATAATCAGGCCCCAGGGGACTGACTAAGAAGTCTCTCTGGGCCCCGGAATTGTTGGAGAGAAGTCCTGCAGGACAGAGAAAGTGGACTAAAGAATCCCCTTCTTAGGAAACTTCTAGAGCCATAAATACTATTAAACACCTACTGGTTGGTTTTCAGCAGTTCCTCAAATATCCCTCTTACTAATGGGCCCAAAGTGCTGATTTTACAGTTATGAGGCCTGGGGAAACAAAGGATATTGGGAAGGCAAAGGGTGTTAGCTTGGTGGTGCACTTCGGGGCATTTTGAGAAACTATGAGGGAGATAGCATGGACGACAACTGGAGCAGCAGAATGATCCAAGCTTCTGACTCCATAGAAATGGAGAACTGTGTGGTTCATTGCCCTGCCCCCATTAATTCTGGAAGCCTGCACACCAGCTCAGTTCCTCATTCAAAAGATGTTGTGATCTCAATTCATTTTGTCTACATTTCTGTTTTGATTTCCAAGATGCACTTATCCTTTTGGAATAATTCTTAAAGCATGAGACTGTTCCCAGGAGGCCGGAAAGGTCAACAAAACTTTATGTTTCTACCATGACATTTGGTGACTATTTCAACAAAGGACTGAGCTAGCAGTCTTGGAATTCAAGAACTAGACATTCAATGATACTTCCCTATTTGGGGGAGGGAGGCATATTAGTTCAGCAACCTGGGGCCTCTGGGATTTTGAGGGACAAACATGTAGAATCTTCCAACCCAGAGGATTGTATCTTCTCTACACAACTTTGGGGAGCTAAGTCTGGAAAACCTTTCACAAATAAATGAGAGTTGCAGTTTGAAAGAAAACTTGGGGCATTTTTGAATTTGTGAAACGTGCAATAGAACTGATTCTTTGCAATCTAGAGCTGGGGAGGAAGAGATAAAGGAGCCTGATTAAGTTAGGGGCCTTGACGGTAACTGAAGCCAAAGAAGTTGATGAGTTCATGCAAGGACGTGAGAACCAAGAAGGAAAGAGGGTCAAGGACAGAATGTTGGGAAACATCAATAATTAGGTGACAGGCAAAGAGAACAGCAACTTGGAAGGAAAGACTGGCCAAACAATATGAGATGAATCAAGAGAAAGACTGATGAGTACTTGGTGGAGATAAAAATATCAAAGAACTTAGCAATAAGGTTATCATTGACTAGGCAGCGAGGGGAGGGGCAGGGGAAGCCCGAGGACAGGAAACTGGTGAAGTCGCAGCAGCTGATAAAGTGACCACAACGAAGGGAGAGGGCGTTCTCACACCCTGCAGCTGGGAAGGGTTCTTGCTGGAGAAGTTTGGGTCGGGCAGGGAAGGTGCAGCCTTCTTCTCCCTGGAGGCACCGAGTGACCCTTACTCTCAGCCCGTCTCCCCCAAGTGACTTCAGTTTCTTCCTCTGTTCATTTCTCCTCCTGTCTCTTCAAACTTCATACTCCTGAATCAGACTAGAGTAGAATGTACTCTGTACTTGAAGCCCAGCGTACCTAGTTTGACTCACCACCCACTCACTTTTTAGCTGTATGACCATTACTCTTTGAGGTTTAGTTTCCTCACCTTGAAAAGGAGGCTAGTAAAGATAGTCCCTTGGGACGATTTTGAGTTTTAAATGAGAGAATGTATTCACTATGCACAGCAGATGGTCAATCAAATGCTACTTCCCTCTTCTACCTAACTCCACGACCTACTCAAATTTCTATATTTCCTTGTCCTTTCATGCCTAAAGTTACTAAATTGCTTTTGTCATTTCTATCTCATCTTCCTCTTCTTAGTCCACAGCAACAGCTGCCCTGCCACATCCCCACCACCACAGAGACCCCGAATTATACAAGAAGGCTAAGGTCATCGTCACTGTGCACAGCTGAAACTCCTCTCTTTTCTCATCTGATCTTCATTTCTTGCCTTTGAAACTCCACTCCTTCCCTGACTTCTGTGGCCCTGAGGACTCATGGTTTTCCATTTCCCAACTGCTCAGCCCACTATCAGTTCATCGTCACCTGACTGTGGACCCCCCACTGGAGCCCCTCCCTGGTCCTCAGCTACCTCTGTTTATAATTGCCCAAGAGCTCACCCATCCTGGTTACTGAGTTAATATACAAAGGAACTTCACTGAGTGCCGACCACAGAGTAAATGCAGTGCAGATTGGCTATAGCTTCTTGTTAAGTACACAAGCATTTGTGACTTGAGGTGGAAGTGAAGGCGGAGGTGGAGGGAGGTGGAGGTGGACTGATAGAGGAAGCATGCTTTCCCAGAGTCCTTAGGCAGGTTTGGCCAAAGCTGAGGATGTGCAGTGAGGATGGCTGATGAGTCAGACATACAAGGACCCTGATGTCAATTTTACTAGAAGGATTTTTCTTGTGGGAGTTTGAAGGCCCAGAAACAGTGGCCAAACAGAGGACTCAGAATATCACCTAGTAGCAATCAGGGAGGCTGCTGGCATGGCCGGTCTACCAGTTCTCCTTCCCATGAGGTGCTGCTGCCCTTTACCCAGGGACTGCCCTGCACAAAATGCCACCACTGATGCCTTGTAACGATGATGCACAATGCACCAACCTTGATTCTCCAGAACATTATCTGTCCTTTAGTGGTTTACCACAATGTCACGGCAGCTGGTTGCCTAATTGCATATCGCTTGCTGCTCTGCTAGGTATGATGTCCATGTTAGTGTGTCTGAGTGCCTCAGTCTTGAGGTTCAGAGTTCAGATCACAAGCCCAGATCTGCAACTGAAGGTGAGAACATCTGTGGGGGAGGACTCTGCGACACATTCTCCTGTGAATGCATAAAAAATATATTTTTTCTAAGTATAAAGGAAAATAACAAATATGTGATACCTTAATCAATAAAGAAAATTTTTTTTAAAAAGTATAAAGGAAAATAACTTCCGTGAGATTCAGAACAGTTGCAGTTTTGCTATGATCATGAAAACAGTCAGCATCGATGCAAGTTATTCATCCTCCTCCGATTCTAGCACATTTGGGTTTCTCCATAGCTGAAGTGTGGCATCCCCATCTGCTGCTGTTTCTCATTGTTTCTTCTTTGTTGTTTTATTACCAGTAAAGCCTCAGGAGACAAAGCCTTCATTCTTTCTTTGCTCTAACCCCACTTTCAGTACCAAAAGCTATGCACACACTCTCTCTCTAAGGCAGTAGAAATTATGCTCTCAATTTATTTCCAAATTTCCCTGTTCATATATTTCTCAGCTTCCTGTCACATACTTAATTGGTCTGGCTGGTTTTTACAGCCACATCTAGCAGGTAATTTCTTTCTTTTCTTTTCTTTTCTTTC